ACATAGACAGTCACCCTAAATAACTCTGTTCATGCTTTGAATAAAGGAATAGATTTCATATTTTCTTCCCTTTTCCCTGATATCACCTGTGAGACAAAATCTCTGGCTGTATCTTTATCTGGTTTTATGCTCCCTAAAACAATTTGCAGTTTCCATTTTAATTCAATGTTAGATTAATTAATTCTTCCCAGTTGCAATATTTCTGGATAGACAATAACTTCAGAAAAATCAGACCATGCAATTAAATATACACTAGCACGTGTTTGCTCTGTTCACAGCAAACATGCCAGACTAAAAAAATCAGTTAATAATACAATTTTACTTCTAGTGTATGCTCGTTCATTGACCAAAATCTTATACTTATTGTGTTCCCCAAAACAGCTAGCAGTTTGAAGTTATGAAAACTGACATTTTTAACACAGACTTCTTATCTGCTTATGCACATGTCTTTTGGGTTTAGAAAATACAATACTGTGATTATCCAGGAAAAAGCACTTATGTAATAAATTTCCAAACGTAAATACATTTCCTTTATTGCCTCCAACTTGGCTTCACTGTTCAATTGTTCTCAGTTGGAGATTAAACTCTTTCCAAAATAATATTCCAAAAGAAAGAAATACAGTCCAAACTCAAAGAGCAGATAACAGAGCAATAAAAAACCAAAAACAAACCGCACAGAAGAAAGTTCCACGACAGACCAGGATAATTAATTACAAACTTCAAGAAGATAACAAGGCACAGTCCGTTGGAAGAACGCCAACCAAGATAAACCTCATCCAGGAATAAAATGCCCCTCCTTTATACTCCCCAGCTGCAATCAGTGAGGAGGATCATGGCTGCTTCCTCTCTCGTAAGCCAAGTTGTTGCCTTCTGCGTGTCTTAGGATGAAGAGGGGATTGGCCTGGTTCTTCCTCTGACTGCCCAGCGGTCTCTGCTCTTCCACAGCCTCCGGAGCCACACTTCCACTCCCTGTCGGCTGTTCCTCCTCTCCCTCTGAGTCAGTCTCCACCAGGGGCATGACACAACGCATCTAAAGCTTTGGTTTTAAGAAGTCCATGCAGTTGGAATCATATAACACTAGAATGCATCCTCTTTGGCAATTTGCTTATGTCATATAAGGATATTCATCCAGTGTGTACCACACCCAGGCAGTGTGTAGAGGTAGTCTTTCAGAACTAGATACTCAAGATTGCACACAGCTTGAGCCAACATCCCTCCCCCCATTCTCCCTTTTTCAGCTACTCCCCTATTATTATTATTTTAGTTCTAGCTGCTTCTCTCATTCTCCCATTTATTTTTTGACTGTATCCATCCAGCTGTCAGTGGAGACATCTAAACTGCAAACTCAAAGCTAGACTAAGGCCATATGCAGCCTTAAACTCTGTGGATAGCCTGTTACTGAAAGCAGTAGCCAAATAACCAGCATATTCTTCACAGAGCTTTTACTTTTAAACTGTGTTTGTGCGATATGCCTGACTATCAGCTATTTTCCCATAGTAAATTATTGATCCTATTTGATGATCCTGGACAGACGATCAAAGAAATCTGAAGTGGCTGTGATTATATCAGCTAGCACACAGTTGGGAAATGAGCATATAGCTTTTTAGTTTAACAGATTTTTTTAAAAAATAATAGGGGCAGGAGGAGGACAAATTTCTCTGTATTTTATCTCTCCATGAGTTTGTAGAATGCAAAGTAAAACTATAGAAAACACCTTCATTGTAGTGAGACAGCTCTTAAATCCTATTTGTAGAATATTATCTTATACTGTAAAATTCATAATTTTTACAAATACCTTGGGGATATATGAGGACTGAGCCTGAATTGAGAGTGACCAAGTTTTTACAAATCCATAAGTAATTACACTTTAAAATGATCCAATTAAACGTATTATTAAAATACATCTTCACTGGTTTATGGTCTTAGAACCACACAAGGTAGAAAATGATATTAATGTTCTTTTCTAAGTTGTTTGGCCAATTATTTAATTGACAGATGGGTCTGAAATTTGCATCTGTGTTCTTACTTGCAATCCTGGTGTTCACTTAACAACCATAAATTCACTTAATGTCCAGGATGATTTGCTTAATGACCATCATAAAAATGGTCATAAAACCAGGTCCAATTCAGCATGACCACAATGATTTCCAACATAAATTCTCATCCCAGTTGTGGTTATAAGTTGAGGACTAGTTGCTTGACAATTCTGACCTATAAAAAGTGAAACTTTTTTCAAAATATTCCACATCATAGACTGGCAGACTTTTTCAGAACTGCCATGTGGTGATATGCAAATCCAAACAACCTATTGTTTCTAAATGGCCAGAATTAGCCATATAGGCTTGTTTTATCTATATCACTTGATATTTTTACTAGTCTTGAAGTCGTGTTAGAACAAGGTTGTCAAACTGGTAGTCTGTGGGCTGGATGAGTCAAGTACAGGCCATTCCCACCCCAGCTCCACGAATGGGGAAAATGTCACAAAACATCATGCGACAGCAACATGCTGCGAGTTTGACACCCGTGTAGAAATGAAAGCTGGCATTCTTCTAAGGCTCAAGACTGAATTAAAAGATGCCAGTTTAAATTTATATGGCTAAAACTGTTCATTTCACAGGTCCATGAATGCAAGACAGAAAATTATTTTTTCTATTTCCGTAATAAGCAAACATGACATTGATTCCATGTTCTGTTGCCAATTTCCCTTCCGATACCAAGGCAAATTACCTTATTTTCACTGACAATCTATCGTAGAAAGGCTTGGCATTATATTATCCTACACAAGAAGACTTTTGGGCTGCAAATATTGTTACTAAACTTATGTGACTTCAAAAGGGTGACCCTCACCCATGCTGCTCACATGATGAGTTTTTTTGCCTTTTAAAAACTGGACCTGATTGCATTTGATGTTGATGAAACCCTATTTTCTAAAACAAGAGTTTCCAAATGTGGCAACTTTTAAGACTTGTGGATTTTAACTGCCAGAGTTCCTCAGCCAGCTACAGTATACTGGCTGAGAAATTCTGGCAGTTGAGGTCCACAACTCTTAAAGTTGCCAAGTGTGGATATTCCTGTTCTAAATGGAGGAAAGACACCAATAAGTATTGAAAGAATAGGCCTGGCTCCAATCTTGAATAAAAAATTAATTAATTAATAGTTAAAATTTTAATTGCTTGAATGATAAGGTCCTTTACAAAACCACAATAGGCAGCTCTTTTCCCTCGAAGCTTTTTGCAAATTGCAGTCTGAGCATCTTCCTAAAAGTTTCTCTGTTCAGGCTAAAGCTGGAAACTAAGTTGGAGGCTTGGTTTAATTTTTTTCTCCTTTATTAAACATATTTTGAAACATAGTAATGGGACACATAATTCAAAATATATCTGTGTGGTTGTTGTTTTTTTAAGAAAAAGAAGAAAGGTATAATTGTGCCATGAGAGTCAAGGTGAACATTGGAGTCCTTTTCTCAGCTATTTTTGTTCAAGGAGTGTGATCTTTTTGTGGGGGAGGAAATTCCAGGATTGGTAACCTTAATTTCAAACTCTGTGCTGCTTTGTGTCTTTCAGTTACATGTTGTCTTTATAAAAGAGTGTACTTTTCAGTTTTGCTGCTATAAATCAGGGATAAGCATTCTGGTGCCTTCCACATGCCTTCCATTGCAATCCCCATAATCCATGGTTAGTACGTCAATGGTCATGGATTCTGGGTATTGTAATCTCAATAGTCTGGAAAACACCAGTTGCTCTCCTTGATGTTAGTGTTGCTTTGATTAAATGCCCAAGTGAAAGGAACTGCATGGGAACCTATAAAGAATAAATAGGATGTTTCCCATCCTATGGAACTCTGCACCCCATGACCCAAATCTCCCTTGACATACACATGGTTTTCGTGGCACAAAGGGAGAACTGGCAGGCAAAACTTTCTTAAACCATAACCATTATTCCTATACTGCACAGAGGGTAGAGTGATGACCTGTATCCCTTGCAGTGTTACCAGTGCAAATTTTATTACTACAGACAGAAGAATTTAAACTGTCCCTGATATTGGAGCTGCAGACACACGGAATGATCTCAGGGACAGTGGTTGGAGGAAGCTTGGTGATGGTGTAACTAAAATCATCTTCCTAAATTGTTTTTGTTTCTTCTAGAAGTTAAAATTATACTTGAGAGCAACTCTAGAGTTACCATGGCATTCTCCACTCTACATTACATATACAGCAAGCATCACAATATGACATTGGGATAATGTCATGTTCATTGCATAGCAAAATGGAACTTTATACCAAGGTTGCTGTTTCAATCTTTGGCCATTGTTTTAAGAGAAGAAGTTACAAATAACAGTCATTACACATTTGTGGCACTTCAGTGGATTGTTTTGAGTGCAGTCAAACCACAATAGTGCTAAAATGAACACACACACAATGCCGTCATACAAAATGCAACCATTATGTACTCATGTCCATGAGATACAATTAAGTTAAATCACAACATTTGCTTGATGGCATCATTATGTATGTTTTGTCATCTGCCTCCTTGTCCCTCAGTTGCCCCTGTTGAGTTGAATTATGTTGAACATAGTTCATATTAGTGCTCAGACTGTACTGTGCAGATTCATTCTGAAGTTATTCAAACTTGTAGAATTTAGAAATGTATCTTCCAATAAGAGTAGAAATAATAGTTAAAGAAACCTATTTCTAAGGAACCCTCCTCAACTGATACACCTATTATCTAAATTCAGGCCATTAAAAGTTATTCCATTCTTCCTATGCAGAGCTAACCCACTGGGTTTCCCCCCCCCCTCCCAAAATAATGCATGAGATTCCCATAGATCTCATAAGTGTAAAATTTGAGTTTGAATTTTGCCTTTGTGCTATAACTTGTACAAATGATCACTAGTGCTTTAGGTTAGTTGATTGTTGTTGTTTTATCCTGGCATGAGGTTATATTTTAGATTAAAAAATAATAATATATTTTACATTAAATATCACATAACTTTATGTACCTTAGGATGGTAAGCGAATGTTTGGTACATACTTCCGTGTTGGCTTTTATGGAACTAAATTTGGAGATTTGGATGAACAGGAGTTCATGTACAAGGAGCCTGCTATAACAAAACTTGCTGAAATTTCTCATAGATTAGAGGTGAGATTTCCTTATCAAGCTTAGAATATTTGCTTACATTAATAAAGATTTTAAATTGTTTTGCTTTATTTCTTTTACTCTGTTCAAAATTAGTTTAACTGTACTAGTTTTAGTAACTTCAGTTTACATTGCTCTCTAAGTCACTTTCATAATCTAGTTGCATTGGAATTTGGGGTATATATATCAACCAATATTTTTGATTTTAAAAATTCTCTTTATTTGTATACAATAATAAATCATGCTGATACTGTAGATAATTCTATTTTGTCTATATGAGGATTAGCAGTGGGAAAATTAACTTCCTAAGAACATGTAAAAAATGCAGTGTCTCTCTCTGAGGAAGTTGTGAAAAATGAATATAATTCTAAAATGTACTTAAGCCTTTCAGTCACAACTTTAATGTTGTATACATACAGCGCTTCATTCTGTTTTTCCCCACATCAGCAGTACTGTAGGTAGCTTAAACTGAGAATGTGTGAATTAAGATTATGGCATGGCGGCCCCAAGTTCAGATATATCGCAGCTGTGGTAAAATAATTTTAGGCTTACCATAGTCAGCCCTGTATGTCACAAATTTGTTATGGGGATAAAATTGTTGGAAAGAATGCTGTGTATGAACACCTTGGGTCTCTGCTGAAAGCATAGAACATAAATCAGACAAACTATGGTTCATTTATTATTCAGAATGTGATAGCAGAAAGCATGGTAAGAATGAGTAATGGTTGAAGCTAAAGAGATAAGAAATGGTGCTTTCAGATCAGATAAAATCACTGGGTTTATAGCAGGTACTGTATATTCCAGTTCTAAAGATGGGGAAAAGAAGTCAGTTATGATGAGATGGAATGTCTGCTTTTGCTCTACTTTCGTTTAAAATGTTGGCTTCTGTTCAGTTTTTAATATCATGTTTATCATTTTCAGGGATTTTATGGAGAAAGGTTTGGTGAAGATGCTGTTGAGGTTATTAAAGATTCTAACCCTGTTGACAAGTGCAAACTAGATGCCAATAAAGTAAGATATTAATTTCTAATCAAACATTGTATTTTAGGCTTTGTCTCAATGAATATTTTGGTGTTAAAAATGGCCTCAATCTACCTGACTACTTCTCTCAAGAAAATAAGGATAACAAATTGTATTTACATTTTCCCTTTCAATCTAAATATGTTTAGCTTGTTTCAGGAATGAAATTGACCAGGAAGAATAAAGCTGCACTCTTGTTAACACTGCTTCTGTCTGTCAACTTGTGTACAGGTAGTCCTCAACTTATGACCACAATTGAACCCAAAATTTATGTTGCTAAGTAAGAAATTTGTTAAGTGAGTTTTGCTCCATTTTACAACTTTTCTTCCCACGTTTGTTAAGTGAATCTCTGCTGTTGGTAAGTTAGTAACATGGTTATTAAATGAATCTGGTTTCCCCATTGAATCCAGAAGATCACAAACGGTGATCACATGACTTTGGGATACTGCAACCATCATAAATATGAACCCGTTGCCAAGAATCTGAATTTTGATCACGTGACGATGGGGAATGCTACAATGGTTGGAAGTGTGGAAAAATGGTCATAAGTCACTTTTTTCAGTGCCATTGTAAGTTTAAGCGATCACTAAATGAACTGTTGTAAGTCAAGGACTACCTGCGTTAGATACATCACAAGACCGTAAAACCTCACCCTGAGGAATTTGGACTGGATTTATTATCCCAGAGCGATAATGTACAGTTGTGGAGAATTCTGGTATGGTTGTGTGAAAATATGTTTGTCCATTTTTGGTTGTCTGAATGTTTGTATATTTTTGTTCCTGAATCAAAATTTTCATGTAAATCTTCCTTATACGGGAAGAGAATCTGATTGAATAAATGATGCTGTTTGGCACATGTTTCATTTATTTCATAAAACAAAATCATCCAATCTAGGCCAGTGTGAAAAAATAATCACCCCATTAGATTCTGTAACTGTTTGCAACTTCTATACAGGTACTCCTGGATTTATAACCATTCATTTAGTGGCTGTTTAAAGTTACAACGGCACTGGAAAAAAGTGAGTTATGACCATTTTTCGCACGACCACTACAGCATCCCCATGGTCACATAATCAAAATTTGGTCACTTGGCAACTGGCTCATATTTAGGATGGGGTCGTGATTATTTTCTGCAATCTTCCATCAAACAGAATCAATGGGGAAGCCAGATTCACTTAACCACATGTTACTAACTAAACAACTGCAATGATTCATTTATCAACTGTTGCAAGAAAGGTCGTAAAATGGGGCAAAACTCACTTAAAAACTTTGTTGCTTAGTTTCAGAGTTTTTGGACTCAATTGTGATTGTAAGTCGAAGACTACCTGTAATTATATCAACGAAAGACTTTGCATTAATATCTCATAGGTTTTTTTGTATCATTGTGTATGAATTTGGCCTGTGTCTCCATGACAAATCATTTCAGTATAGGAACCCTTTCAAAACAACCATGAAGTACTTGAAGTCTGTGGAGATTCTCAGTCATCCAGGTCATGATTGTCCCAAAGGTGCTTTTTCAGCAGACAATTGGACTTTTCTTGTTTTTTTTCTTTGAAGACATTTCACTTCTCATTCAAGAAATCAATTTCGTTGTATATATGTACAATGATAATAACAGTTATTATTATTAAGAAGCTTCTTCAGCTCTGACTAGATGGTGGGGAATGAAAGGATTTATATTCCTTGTCATTAGCATCCTTTTAAACAAATGTCTAAAAGGAGAGATGTCTTATCCTTGTAGACAGCTGGTCATTAGCATCCTTTTAAACCAGGGGTGTCCAACCTTGGCAACTTTAAGACTTGTGGACTTCAACTCCCAGAATTCCTCAGCCAGCAAAGCTGGCTGAGGA